AGCACATCCCGGTGCCACCGGTGTGTGCTGCACCATAGGTAGCAGCAGGATGCACTGAGTTCCACACCACCACCCTTCTTCATTAGTGCTTATCTTTTAACAGTTTTTGATCAGCCTCCCTTGCTGCAGCTGGGGAAGGTCGAGGCCATTAGAAACCTCTCTGATTTAGGATTTAATCAATTTTCCCCATAATTGCCTGCATCCTTCATTAGCTGCCGTAACAAGGCAGATGTGGCACGAGGTGCCAGCAGGGAGGGATGTGAGGACCGAGCACACAAAGCTCCCGCCCACAGCCCCAGCTTCCCAGCAAGCCATGATGAGGGTACATGGGGTGGGGACAGCTGGCAGGGCCAAGGGACACCAGCAGGGCTATCCCTGTGTGGGGACAAGCAGGGAGCCCTGGGCAATGGGAACAATCAGTCTCTGCAGAAACACCAACAAAATCAGCTCACACCTTCCTTCCCCAGTGACGTGCACAGGCAACCACGTTCCCTGCCCTAACATAGTGGGGCTGACCCCACCTGCCACCCATCTATGCCTGTTTCCTGCAGCCCAGTGCTGGTAAGGGATGGGGACATCGTTGCTCTGCACTGTGACAGTGCAGGCGGTGTGTAGGCAGAGCTGGCAAGGGATGAGACCCAGAGACCCTAAAATGTGATTTGAAACAGCAGGAGGGGCAGCAAGTCCTGTGCAGTGTCTCTCAATAAGAGGCAGCAGGAAGCAGTGGAACCAGCACAGAAACCCCTTCACTTTGTTCAGATAAAGCTCCCAGTGGGGATCACTGTGGCAGCAGCACAGCGATGGCACAGGCACCCACACCTGGGGTGTATCTGCAGATACACCCAGTGTCCCTGTTGCTACCCCCGTGCTACTGCCCTGCCAGCAGTGTGTCCTTGTGGCCTGGCTGCTGCACAGCACACATCCATCAGTGTCTGCAGCGATGCATGGAGTCAATCTGGATCCACTGGTAAGCCAAAGGAATGAGAGCTTCCTGAGAGCTCTCTTCTGGGGATGGGGCACAGCGCGCTGCCCCCCAGGCAGGATCAGACAGGGGCACTGCATCTCCATTGCATGAGTCAGAGCTGATGACACCCATCCATCACAGAGCACCGAGTGACAGCTTTATGCCTCTCTGCCAGCTTCAGGCTCACTGTGGGAGACATAAAGGACACGGTACAGATCTGGGGGAGTACAGCCAGAAAGTGCAGGTGTTCTGCTGGGACAGCGGGGTTATGCAGCACATGGTGTCACTGACCCCAACAACGGGAGTGGCTGCATGAATTTCTATTGCCAAACGCATTGTTAAATTTAATGCGTGCCCTGCGGAGCGCAGAGCGCAGCAGGGAGAGACGCAGGCGGGAGCTGGGATTGCAGCCCGTGGCTGCCAGAGGCTCATTAGCATCCGGAGTTATCGTTATGATTCACGGCCGGTGCGAGCAGCATCTTTCAGTGCAGCCCGGTCCTTCTACTCTCGGCAGAGATCAATAAACTCATTATGAAGGCAAATAATGGCAGTGGGAGAACGAGAGAGGCGGGAGGCGAGGAGCCAGCCGTAGGGAGGGCTGCAGGAGTGGGAGGCAGCAGGAGGAAGAGGAGGACAGCCTCGTGCAGGGGCTGCAGAGAGAACAGCATGCCACCAGACCCACTGATCCCTCTGCAGACCCCGCCTGCCCCATTGCTACATCCAGCAGGAGCACGACCAGGCTTCAAGAACAACATATAGATCGTTCAGGTTGGAAAAGACCTCTAAGATTGTCAAGTCCAACCGGCAACCCATCCCCACTGCGCCCACTGACCGCGTCCCTAAGACATTCTGAACAAGGATAATGGGAGCTGAAGGGCTGAGCAGGAGCACACCAAGCCCTCTGCCCTCCTACGCAGCACCCAGGGGAGCCCCCTGCCCTCCCTCCTGATTGGGGAGGAAGGTCAGGTCACCCTCTCCCTCCATTGGCAACCACACTCCCAGCACTTTGCAACATTCATTTCCAGGACAGGGGTCACAAACACTGTTGTTTGTTTTTTTTTTCCATGACCCTCGAAGAACAGCTGGGAATGGATGGCAAGAAACTCAGAGGGACTTTGAAAGCTGCTTTGTGGTCACGTAATCCCCCTGCCCCTCTCCCATGGGTTGTATGGAAGTCAGAGCCGTGTGGGAAGGGGCCTTGCATTTCTCCCAAATCCGTGCCTGCCAGTAAATGGCTTTTCAGCAGAGTGGATGCTTGGCAAGCTGAAAGACAAAGAGGAGTTTATCTGCCAGCACCAAACCAGCTGCTGGGGTGAGGCAGCGTCTCACCAAACCAGGGACCACCCAGAGGAACAGATCTCTACATGAGGCCAAAATTCAATGATAAATCTAATGAAACAGGGGGAAAAAAAGGGAAGGGAAGGGAAGGGAAGGGAAGGGAAGGGAAGGGAAGGGAAGGGAAAAAAAGAACCTTGAAAGGGCTCAAGCATTCCTCTGCCTCGGCCAGCTGACCCCTCACCATTCAGCCATCAGCTCGGATCAGCCCTCCTTCACTGCCCCTTCACTTCATTCATTTCTTTTCTCTTTTTTTTTCTCCTTTTTTTTCAATGATCAGATCTGGTTTCAACCAACATGAGCTCAGTGGCTGAGTTCACACAGCAGTGGGGCAGAGGGGGCTGAGCTGTGGGGCCAGAGGTGACCACCCTTTGCTTAGATGGGGAGGAAGGAGGACGGTGACGGGGTGATGCTCAGCATCAGGTTGGGACAGCACGAGGTGAAGGGGATGGGGACAGCCCTCCTGGAGCAACTCTGCAGAGCAAACCTGAATATGGGACCTGGAGGTGGAAGGTGGAGAGAGATGGTGAGAAAAGTCCTCAGTGCTCTGTGGGTAACCAAGGCTGCACGCTGATTGCAGGGCAATGGGGCCAGGGCACAGAGGCTGCACCCAGAGGGACACAAGGGACAGAGGTGGCAACATCACCTACACAGGGGGGAAATTCAAGGAGGCAGCACCGCAAAACACACAGCCAAGCTCTGTGCTGCCCTTCCTGCTGGCAGGGATGGCTGCTGATGTGCCTTTGAGGATATGATCTATGGAAACCCCGTGGCTTTCCTGGGGAAGGGCACAGCCAGGACAGCCCTCCTGGGCACACAGAGCAGCTGAGGGAAAACAAAACAACTGTGAAAAGGTGACAAGGCATCGAGCCCTTCTCAGTGCCACACCAGAGCGATGCATTCCCTCCTCCTGCCTGCCAGGCAACATCTCACCAAGCCACTGAGAAGCTGTGCTTGGTGACACACGCAGTGGGACCCAAAACCCCAGCGGGCAGCACCCATTGCACCTGCCAAGCTCTCATCCTCCACATCCTCTCTCCTTCCCTGCTTTTACTGGGATATTAATATCCACATCATTTATTCCAGGGGCAGATCTTTCCATCCTCCGAAAAGATTTATGAGGCTGATAATGGTTCTTGTTCTTGCTCCAAGACCCTGTGTCTTTGGATCCACCTCTGTAAGTGAATGGCTAAGTGCAAATGAGAACCTCCCAGCCCCTCTTGCTGCAATCAGCAGCCTCGCTCCTGGCTCTTTGTTCCAAGCCACTCTTAATTTCCTGCTTTCTGTTGTCTCTTTGATAACTGGTGGAAAGATGGGGGGGAGCAATAGTTACTATTTAATTGCATTCAAGATCTCAAACAAACCAGAGCAGAGGTTATCTCACCCAAAGCTCTCTGGTTTTGGTCTTTCTCCTCCAGTCACCGTTACTGGGTAACTGCAGCAGGACAGGCTGTGGCAGCTGCCACCTGTACTGCACGAATCCCAGCTTTCACGCAGACATCTCAAAGCTGTGGGTGACCATCACACCAACTTCCCAGCGCTCCCAGGCAGTGCCAAGCCAGCACACAGCTGCCTCGCTTTGCCTTTGGTCACAGAGTGCAAAATCCTTGGGTAGAAATAGTCCCAGCATCCCAAGAAAGACTGGGAATTCCACACACCGCTTAGTGCAGCGCAAGCCCCAGCGAGGTCACCGTGTGGCCATCACCGTGCCCTGCCCCCCCCTCCTTGTACACCTCGGATGCGCCAGGAGAAACCGAGCATTCCGCACTATCGTTAGAGCCAAGCACGAAGAACCTTCTGCTGCAAGAGAGATGGGAAGATGGGAAGTCCCCCACGCTCTGGGTGCTGCGGGGTCCCCGATCCCACGCTGCTTGTTGCACAGCAGCTCCAGCACACACCTCCACATCCCTCATCCGAGGCTCGCAAAGGGCCGGGCGGGCACGGCAGGGCAGCGTCGGGAGAGCAGAGCGGGCACGGTGGGGCAGCACACGCGGGGCATCGCGGGCGGGGGGCATCACCGAACAGGTTGGACAGGACCGGGCCGGACCGAGCGGCACCGAACAGCAGCACGGGCAGGGCTGTCCCCGCCCCGGCCCCGCAGAGCCGCCCCAAGCGGGGCGGAGCGCAGCCGGTGCGTTGGGTCCGGCGGCGGAGCGGGCAGCGCGGAGCTGATCGGAACGGAGCGGTGCGGAACGGAGGGCGCTGCCGGCGCCTCCCCGGTGCCCGCCGGGCCGGGCCGGGCAAGGGCACGGCGGTGGGAGCAGGTGAGAGGAGAGGGGGTCGGCGACGCTCGGCTGTCCCTACCCGACCCCGGGGGCTGCAGCCGCGGGGAGCCGGCGGGAGCGGAGCTCGGCTGGGAGCGGGGAGGGCGCGGCGGAGAGCGGGGTACGGGCACGGCTACCGCCTACCCCGCATCTTCCACGGCAGCGGCAGCTCCTCGGGTTTCCCTTCCCCAAGCTGGGCGCTGGCTCCTCGCCGGCTGCGTGCTGGGAGGGGAGGTTTTCCCCTTCTGTCACCGCTCCGAGTGCCGGTCGCACCCAGAGGGGATTTATTCATCAGTCGCGGTTCGGGGGGTCGTGGGGGCTCCGGAGGCAGGAGGAGCTGTGTTGTGTCCAGACCAGACTCCTCTGTGCTCCCTGTGCGGGGAGGAAGGAGGTGGCAGAGATGGGCTGGGGAAAGCCCTCCAGGGAGCATCTCTCTACAGAGCTTGGCTGCAGGATGGGCAAATCCTCCCCAGGAATCCCTTCCTTTCTATTTTCTCCAATTTCTAGAATTTTCTCCTTCATCCCCAAAACAAGGGGAGATGACATCTTGCTTTCCCTGAGCCACCTGTGCCCCGCAACCAGCAGAGCCATGGATCTGGAATACGAGCTGCCCAACGCCACCACCTTCTGGTTCTCTCCAGCTTCCCCATTCGACAACTTCTCCGTAGAGGCCCCCACCAATGCATCACAGAATGCCACAGGCCAGCACTTCGACCTAACCAGCAACGCCATCCTCACCTTCATCTACTTTGTGGTCTGCATCGTAGGGCTGTGCGGCAACACGCTGGTGATTTACGTCATCCTTCGTTACGCCAAGATGAAGACCATCACCAACATCTACATCCTGAACCTGGCCATTGCTGATGAGCTGTTCATGCTGGGACTGCCCTTCCTGGCCATGCAGGTTGCGTTGGTACACTGGCCCTTTGGCAAAGCCATCTGCAGGATTGTCATGACGGTGGATGGGATCAACCAGTTCACCAGCATCTTCTGCTTGACAGTTATGAGCGTTGACCGCTACCTGGCTGTTGTCCACCCCATTAAGTCCGCCAAGTGGAGACGGCCCAGGACAGCCAAAATGATCAACGTGGCCGTTTGGGGTGTCTCCCTGTTGGTGATCATGCCCATCATGATTTATGCTGGAGTGCAGCAGAATCACGGCAGGAGTAGCTGCACCATCATCTGGCCGGGAGAATCAGGTGCGTGGTACACGGGCTTCATCATCTACGCCTTCATCCTGGGCTTCCTGGTGCCTCTCACCATTATCTGCCTTTGCTACTTGTTCATCATTATCAAAGTCAAGTCCTCAGGCATCAGGGTGGGCTCCTCCAAGAGGAAAAAGTCTGAGAAGAAAGTCACCCGAATGGTCTCCATCGTGGTTGCTGTCTTCATCTTCTGCTGGCTCCCCTTCTACATCTTCAACGTCTCCTCTGTCTCTGTCCTGATCGTGCCCACACCCGTCCTCAAGGGCATGTTCGACTTTGTCGTGGTCCTCAGTTATGCCAACAGCTGTGCCAACCCCATCCTTTATGCCTTCTTGTCTGATAACTTCAAGAAGAGCTTTCAGAACGTCCTCTGCTTGGTGAAGGTCAGCGGCATGGACGATGCGGACCGAAGCGACAGCAAGCAGGACAAATCCAGGCTCAACGAGACCACAGAAACCCAAAGGACCCTGCTCAATGGTGACCTGCAGACAAGCATCTGACAGGGCAGCGGGGTTGTCCTTCACTCGCTCTCCTCTCCCCACTTGCTCCCAAAAGCACTGGTATGTAGGGAGTCGGGCAGGAGTGACAGAGATGCACACCCTGATGGGCCGAGTGTCCTAAGCTGGGCTGGTTCCCGAGCTGCTGGTGGGTTGGCTTTCAAGCATTGTGAAGGATACGGTTCAAGAGGAACTGCCTCACCAGGAACACAAAGACTGTAGGAATCCCCACGTGGCAGCACACGTTTGAACACCAAAGTGCCGCTGTGGGCAACAGACATTGCTGGGACAGCTCTGCTGGTTCTCCTGGTGTTCCCCATGGGGCTGAAATTGGCTTTGGGTGCTTTGCCCCGGAACAGTGCTCACATCGAACTGACGGATGGAGAATGTGGCCTGGCTGGGCTGGGACCTGAGTGCACAGGGGGCGGCCTCGGGAGGAACTGAGACCACAGGTGCTGCACACACTGCCTGTGCTACTGCAGAGCTGTGCCAACTGGGAGCCGAGACCTGCTGGGAGCTCCCTGGCAGCACAAGCAAGCTCCTGCAGTCACGTCCTCCCCGGGGAGACAAGGGCTTACATTCAGCCTGACTTTGTAAGTTATTCCACTCTTCCCCCAAAGCCTCCCTGCTGCTGTCTGACTGCTTCCTTTGCAGAGAGCTGTCCTGCATGGAGGAGGCACAGCAGGACAGAGGCAGCCTCCCCGAGGACACAGCCCTCTCCAGCACTTTTGGGTCCCTCCGTGCTTCTCTTCTGCCTCCGCCAGCCCCACAGCCTCCCCGCTGCAGCAGAGCCCCTGCCCTCCTCCCTCCCATAACATCACCTTCTCACAGATTTTCTCTACAGATGGAGGATTTTCCCCCTTTTTCCTTCATTTCTTCTCAGATCTGTTCACATCAGCCTCAGGCTGATCTCCTGAGTGAGCCATGGCCGGGCTGGCTGAGCAGCCACTGTACAATCCAGTAGGAAATTCTTGGAAGCATTTACTCAGCAGTAGCATTGGGGTTTGGAGTACAGCTGTGCAGTTGCTGCTCATCCTGCTGCTGACGGCCAAGTGAGATGTGGGCTTGTCCTGTCCCTGTGGTGGCACAGAGGATCACCAGGGCCGGAGCTGCCATGAGGGAACATCGCCTGCTTACCAAGAACACCTCCCTGCTCTGACCAGGCAAATCATAAAAAAGGAAGGAGTGATGGAGAAGATGGCTGACAGGAAGTCGGGGTGCAACGGGGCTTGACCCTCATCTGAGCCAGAAGGACTGGGCGGAGCAGAGGATCCTGAGCTGGAGAAGAAGCCTCTGAGGTGCATGGAGTCCCCGGGCTGTCTCTTCTATGGGATGGCTGCAGCTGCTCATGTCTCCACTCCCTGTTGCTAACAGCAAGGCTGTGACCACTGCAAGCCACCCCTGTCACTGCTGGGGTGCACGTCCTGCAGGTAACTGCAGAGGGGGGACAGCATTTTCCCCAGGGGCTTCCAGCACAAAACCAGCAGGAAGAGCAGAGAAGAGCATCCAGACCCCAGTGCCTCTCCTGTAGCCAACGTGGTAAGGGGGACCCTGGGGTGCAGGTCATGCAGTGAGGGGGTGGTGGGTCTGGCCCAGCCACCGGGGGCACAGTAAACCTCAGCCCAGCACTTGCCCTCCCATGGTATAAGCCCAGGAGCTGATATGCTCTGCTCAGACACCAAATGCAGCAATTAGAGCCCAGTGGCTGCACTGCCCGCTGCGTTCAGCTGCTCAAGAATGTCTTGCAGTGATCTGCTGTGCGCCAACGAGCCTCAGGGTCAGCACTCAAACCCTGTCCCATGGTGTCCCTCCTTGGCAGCACTGTGTGAGCAGGAGGGGAGGCACAGGGCAGAGCTTGTGCCTGTTTTCTTTCTGCAGTGATGCCCCTCCCCCCCCAGCACATCACCCCTGTCCTACTTTGCAACCCCACCAGTCCCAGAACCCCACAGGAGCTCGGTGCTGAGCTCAGTGCCTGCTCCCTGGCACAGTTCACTCAGACACCAGCACCAGAACACCCCCCTGGGAACGGGGCTCAGGTTACTGGGGCGACGTAGGGCACTGTCAGCATTTATTTGCTTTTAACCATTTACCTCTGCGGGGGCTCAGCACTGAGCTGCTGGCAGTCACTTGCTGAGCGTGTCCTCACGACAGCTTCATTAAGGGGTATAAATCCGAGGCGAGAGGCAGTGACGGCAGCACAGGCTGCCTATTGATGCCGCAGGAATTAAAACAAGACCAGCTTGTCACATTACCGTGAAATATTGGAGTGTGATTGCCAGCCTGGTGCAGCCCTCTGCCAGGGTAAGGCTTCAGTGTCAGGGCTGCAGCGATGCGTCAGCTGGGCTCCGGGTGCTTAATATCTGGTGGGTGGGAGAAGGGTTATTTGTGTGGAAAGAGCCAGGGGCAGGAGAGGTGACAGGAAGGCAGGGGAGGAGGTAAGAGCCTGATGTTTGCAGCCCCCAGCAGTGCTGCAGTGCTGCTGGCAGCGCTCCGGTCCTGCCACCACCTCCCCCTATGCAGAGGCTGTTCCCATTCCTGGTGGTGGCTGACCCTGTGTGCTGCTTCCAGGCTGCTCATCGCTGCCTAATAAACAGCAGCGCTGTTGCTGCTGTCAGTAACAAAGTTTTCCTTCTCAGCCACTTGATTTTAGCTGGAACTTGACCTCATATCTGCTCCGAAAAGCCTCGCAGGGCTGCCAGCGGCATAATGAGATATCTCTCCCAGTTCATTTCAGAGCAAATAGGTTGATCTTGCAAGTGCCGGAGCAGCTCTGCTGCCACTTCACATGCAGACTATTCCCAGGCAAGTAAGATTAATTACAACTCCCGCCTGCCCTGGCTGGAACAGATTTGTTCCAATTTGGAGGTGATGGAAAGCAGCGTGCCCCATGTCCTGTAGTATTATCCTGTGTGGTGACCCCACGCCCATGAGAAACAAACTGTCCTCAATCCCATCACTCGATCCCACACTCAGATGAGGAACATTGCACCCAGGACAGAGCCTGGCTCCTGGTGCTGTGGTGGCTGGTTCCACCCAGCCCTTGGCAGCCAAAGCCTGCTGGGCAGTGAGAGGCTGGGTTTGGCCCTGCAGCCTTCTTACTGTGTCTCTACAACTCCTGATATCAGCACCAAAGCTGCCTTGGACTTCTTTAAAATAACAATTTCCTAACAAACTGCACTGTCCTATCTCTGGAGGGCTTCCCCAAGTCTGTCCTTGTCCTCGATGGAGGATCCAAGACCTCCCAGGCTCTGAATCCACACCGCTGCTCAGAGCCAGGCTTGGTTCCCACGTCCCTCCCCTTCCCCTCAGCACCCTTGTTTCTGCTCAGCAGATAGAAGAGTAGGAGCCAGCATCAGACCATTGCCTGCAAAGCCTTGCTTACACCCAGCTGGAGCAGTCCTAAGCAGCACATGGCCCCATAGTCACCAAGGGGCTAGCAGGGAGCACGGTGGGGACACCAACAGCATTAGCTCCCCAAAACAGCTCCAGAAAGATGCAAGAGCTGAGCCCCTGGGACCTCAAGATAATGGCACTGGGGCTCTGCAGTGCCAATGGTGTTTGTGCTGGGAGTACTGGGGTGCATAGCCTGAAAGCTGCAGCTTGTGCTGTGCTCCTGGGGTTGTTTCAGCCCTTGCTATGAACAAGCTGATTTCCAACCTCTCAGGGAGAGCCTGCGTCCCCCTGGTCCCAACCCTGCCAGGGCTGTGCAGAGGGGAGATCATCACCAAGGCACAGGCAAAGAGCGCAGCAGACCTCAAAGTCGACCTTGCCATCACTACATCTGAAAAAGCAAACTGCTGCTTTCTGACCTGAGGACACGTCTACCCTTCCCTGTCAGCCTGCAACCCCAGCTGCACACTGCTCGTGTCAGATTTCATCCTGCTGTTTGCTCCAGGACCAGGACAGCAAAACCCAGGAGCACCAAGGACGTGGCTCCAGCTGGGACCAGGGGGCCTGACTGGATCTGTGCCCTGACCAGGAGGAGACAAGGGATGCAAAGTCCAAGTACCCCACACTGTACTGCATGGTCAGGAGGGAAGGGGTGGGTGGTTGTACATATGTGTATATAGCAGACATGCCAGCAGAAGGTTTTATTGTCCCTGATGCTGTAGAGACACTCTGCACTCCTCTGTTTTGCTGTGCACCCCACAAGCAGCGTGCAGGAGCAGTCAGACCCAGCTCTTTGGGTGCCCTTCACTATCCATGTGGGGCTGGCTGTGGCATGCATGAGCCTGGAAGCAACTGCTGTGCTGACAGGCAACTAAAGCACTTGAGCAGGGCAAGGGGAGAAGAGCTTAGGCTGCTGCTAAGTGATGAGTCCTTCCTAGCCAAGCTGGGGTTCCTCAAGCAGCACTGTGCCACATTGCCATGTTCTGTACATACACCCCTCTGTATCTGTATCTGTGCTCTGTATAGTGTGTGTGGGTCTGGTGTAAGACATTGTGACTGGAACATGATGGAGAGCACTTCTGCCTGAAGCCTTTCTCTCTGTAGCAATATGATGTTTCTTGGTGTCAGTGTGGAACTGAGCCTTCTTACAGCAAAGGCTCCCGGCTGTCTGTGTCACTGGGATGGAAATGTGGATGGGGGTGGGAGGAAAGTAAACAAATTTTCCTACCATTTCTGACTTTCTGTGCATGTGCCTGAGCTGGGCAAGAGCAGCGTAAGTATAGAAGAGGCTTGGACTCCTCCCAGGAGAAGAAAAGGCACCAAACCCGGAGTGTCACCATGGGCAGTGCACACTTTGTGTCCTCCACAGTCCCACTGTTCCTCTTCCCATCTCAGCTCAGAGGGTCCCCACGGGAGAGCTGGCTGCCCCAAAAGCACAACATTGCTCCAAACTCAGGGCACCGGCCACAAAACGAGATGGGTCACAGATGAAGCGTGACCACAAACAGCGACAGGCAGGGGGCTGCAGAAACTCAGCATGAACAACTCCAAGGCAGCAGGTTGTCTTTTCGGGCTGGCAACGCATCTGTGCTGCTTCTGAAAGGACCGGAGCCTGTTAATTGCCACTGCTGGAGATCTGATCGACTGCAGACAGCGACACTGGGTAGGCTGTGTGTGCTTGGAGGGAAACCACGAGGTCTGTGCTGCAGATGTTCGGACACGGGCTCTGCTACGAACTGTGAATGGTGAGCCATGCAGCCAGCAGTGCTGACCGCTGCACGGGGCAGCTTTGCTCTCTGTGGTTTCCATGCAAATAAATCCCTTCAGAACACGAAGAACAGCCCTATTTGTGTGCCTGTCAGGTCTGACTAGAACTGTGTGCACACACGTGCGGGGATGGGCGGCTCGGCGCTGCGATCAGAAGCACGCAGCCCAGGCAGGAGCACAGGCAGAAGCAAGCCAATAAGCGCCTTGGGAAGGATCTGCACGCTCAGAGCTTTCCTGCTACCTCCAGGGACTGGAAACAGGAGATAACGTGTGTGCTTTAGGTTGGAGCTACACTTACAGCGGAAAACACACAAACCAGCACAAATAACCAGAGGGGATTCTCTGTTTCCCACGCACGGCAGCCGCGCCCCCAAGCAGCCCACGAGCAGCAGGCGCGGAGCGCTCGGCCGAACCAATGGCGCCCCCTAGCGACGCCCGCCGGACCTCGGGGCTGGGTTGGGGCCCGGCACCGCGGCCTGGCGCTGCGGACAGGACTGGGCCTGCCCCGGAAGCCAGGCGGGAAGGTAGACCCGGTAGCCAGCACCCAAGAGGATCCCGGGCCCGGCGCTGAGACCGAAGCGAGCCCGCAGGTAGAGAGTGTTTCCCCGCATCTCTATTGCCATGGCAACCGGGCGGCACTGTGCCCAGCAAAAAGATGGCGGCCTGCCGCCGGAAATAGCACTGCCTGATTCCAAGATGGCGGCACGCCGCCGGAAGTAGCCCTGCCCGTCTCCAAGATGGCGGCCGCCACGTCACTACCGCCCCGCAGTGATGGCGGCCACGGCGGCTCGGGGCGCGGAGGCCGAGGCTCTGTTCGAGGCTCACACAGCGGCGGAGCTGCGCGAGGCGGAGCGGCGGTTGCGGGCCGGCATCGAACAGAAGCGGGAGGAGCTGCGGCAGATGGTGGGCGAGCGTTACCGTGACCTGATCGAGGCGGCCGACACCATCGCCGAGATGCGGCTGAGCGCCGAGCGGCTGCTGGACTCCGTGCGGGGCCTGCAGCGCGGCGGGGCGACGCGGCCCGGCCCCGCTCCGCCGGTGAGCAACGAGCTGGCTGGGGGGGTTGATGCCTTCCGAGCCCTGCCTTAACGCCGTTTTCTCAACCGCAGGCCCCGCCGCAGGTGCAGGAGAAGCTGTACCGGGCGGCCGCGCAGCTGAAGCTGCTGCTGGACATCCCCGAGCGGGCGTGGAGCGCCATGGAGGCCGGGCGTTACCTGCACGCCGCCCGCCTCTACCTGCTGTGCCGCCACCTGCACGGCCTGCTGCAGCTCGACGCACCCCGCGCCCGCTACAGCCCCGTCCTCGCCCGCTTCCCTATCCTGCTGCGCCAGGTGGCCGCCGCCAGCCACTTCAGGTGGGAGAAGGACGTGTGGTGAACCGGCAGCGGGTGCTTGGGGCCCAAAGGCCAACAGCGTCCTGAGTTGGGTTGACAGCAGGGATTGTCCCCCTCTGCTCTGCCCTGTGAGGTCCCACCCTCAGGATTGCGTCTATGTCGTTGCTGTGAGGAAAGGCTGCAAGTATTCAGATTGGAGAAGGCTCTAGAGAAACCTCAGTTCAGCATTCCAGTGGTTGAAGGGGGCTTATACACAAAAGAGAGAGCAACGTTTTACGTGGGCAGTTAATGATTGGACAAAGGAGAATGGCTTTAAACTAAATAAAAGGAGATCTAGGTTAGATGTTAGGAAGAAATTCTTTACCCACAGAGTGGCAAGGCCCTGGCACAGAGCTGTGGGTATCCCATCCCTGCAGGTGCCCAAGGCCAGGCTTGGGGTGGGACCCTGGATCACCTGATCTGGTGGATGGCAGCCAGCCCACAGCAGGGATTGGAACTAGATGATCTTTAAGGTCAACTGAAGCCATTATAAGTAACAGCAGGCTTCTGCTGTGAGGAATGCAGTACTGAGTAGAGTTTCTGCTCAGAATCTCCTAACCCAACCTACATTTCTGTCAAACAGCAGACCTTCTCCCTGTAGCACTTGGTTACTGTCTGGTTCCTTTCCTTGCCAGATCCACCATCTTGCAGGAGAGCAAGTCTCTGCTGAAGTGCCAGACCGTGTCAGACCAGGCAGTGGCAGAAGCCTTGTGTGCCATCATGCTTCTGGAGGATAGCTCCCCACGCCAGGCCCTTGCAGACTTCCTTCTGGCCAGGAAACTGGCAATCCAACAGCTTCTCAACCAGCCACACCACGGTCAGTACAACAGGGCTGCCTCCTTTTTAAAGTTAGGGTAACCAGCTCTGTTTCTTCTCCATTTTGCCCTGTAGTACCCAAACAGAGAAGTGGGTGGCTTAATCCTGCAAAGCTCAGAGTGGTGGGGTTTCAGCCATGTTGCACTATTGCAGTGGCACTGTGGGTGTCCTGGCAGCTTTTTGCCACAGTGCTGAATTAACAAAGCTCAGGCACTAAAGCCAAGCTTATCTTCAGCCAGGAAGTAGGTGATGCACGTGGCTGAGACACATGCTGTCCAGCCCATTCCTGGAAGATTTCACTGGACCCACAGAGCATTGTCATACTTCTGCTAGAGGGGCTGCCTTCACTGAAAGGCTTTTTCTTTTTTTTGCAGGTGCAGGTATAAAAGCTCAGGTGTGTTCACTGATGGAGCTGCTAACCACTACCCTGTACCAAGCTCACGCACTCTTCTACGTGATGCCTGAAGGGGTGCCACCAGACCCAGCCCTACCCTGTGGCTTACTCTTCTCCACCCTGGAGAGCACTACAGGCCAGCAGCCAGCAGGTGAGCACCCAGCCAGCAGCAGCTCTGTTTACAGGCAGGAGGCTGCCCTGTGCTGAGCTGATTCCCCCATCCCATGTGCTTCTAGGAAAAGGTGGGGTTCTGGAGGATGAGGCAAAGCTGAGCAGCTGGTTCAGGTACCTCCCAGAGTCTGTAGTGGAGTTCCAGCCAACTCTGCGGACCCTGGCGCACCCCATCAGCCAGGACTATCTCAGAGACACTCTGCAGAAGTGGATCACCATGTGAGTGTGACACTCTCCTCCTTCACAGAAGGCCCCTACGAGGTCTCCTTGCTAAGGACAAAACAAAGTCACACACCCCTATGAAGCAAAGCTCTGCTGACTCCCTACTCAGTATTCCTTCACCCCTGCAGTTAAGCAGCCAGAACAGCAGGGTACAGTCTTACTAGGCTATAGCACTCTGTTACAGCAGACCACGCTGGTTAACCCAGGGCTTCATAATATTTATCTAGAGCTGCTTTATACTGCCAAAATCACAAGCAAAGAAAAGGAAAGCAAAGCAAAATCCCTTACCTTTCTCTTTTGGCTCTTGGTCCAGCACCTCCTTCCTCTTCACTGCCCTTCTCCAGACTGTGAGTGCAGACAGAGCCCCTTTATAGGGCATTCAGCTCCCTCCCCAGTTCCCACCACATGGATGGGGACAGCTTTTCCAGCCCCTTAGCAGCCTGGTTACTCATATATTGGTGTCAGTCTTGTGTCATTAACCCATAGAGCTGCTGCTGGGCTGGCCAGCTGGTCCCTGGCATCAGCTGTAGCCCCCTGTGGTGCGTTTATTGGCCATGAGAAGTTTCCCCCTGCTTGCCAGGCTCATAATGAGGGCAATTAGCATAGTGGGGGTGTTCCTAGGGTGCAGCTGGCTTCAATGCCCACAGTAGCCCTGGGTTTCCAATGCAGGGCTTCCTTGCTGGGATTTAGGGTGCAGCTGTCTCACTGAGAGCCAGAGGTTCCCTGAGCCCTGCAGGTGCCTTTGCAGGTAGAGTTTCTTATTGACAGATAAAGAACCCCCCCACCTTGATGTAGTATGTGTTTTCTCCTGGGTTCTCTGGGGTTATTTCTGAGCCAGTCTGAAGTAAAACTCCACCTTCAGGTGCAGTGAGGATATCAGGGCTGGGATCAGCAACCTGCTGGTCTACGTGAAGAGCCTGAAAGGCCTCGCGGGGATCCGTGATGCAGTGTGGGAGCTGCTCACAAGTGAGTCCATAAGCCAGAACTGGGATGTGTTGTGCCGTCGCCTTTTGGACAAGCCTGCTTCCTTTTGGGAGGACCTGCTGCGGCAGCTCTTCCTGGACAGGCTGGAGGTGAGCACTCTGCTGCAGCTTTGCTCTGTTCCCCATCTTGTCTCCAGCATGCCACTGGTGCCAGTTAGAAGCATTAAGTGCGTATCTTAAGTGCTGTGTTACAGGAAGCACCTGTAAAAGCTTGTTTTTTTCCTCATTTTCTAGATACTGACTAAAGAAGGGTTTGAATCCATCTCAAGCAGCTCCAAACAGCTTCTCATCTTAGCCCTGCAGGAACTCGAGGCCAAATCCAACACCTCTGCCTTGAGCAAGCACGTCCAATTTGAACACAATGTGGCCCAGTTCCTGTGGTCAGAGAGCTCCAGCGATCTGCCTTCAGATGCTGCTTGGGTCAACGTGGCAAACCGCAGCCAGTTTACCAAGAGCGGCCTGTCCATGAAGGCCCAGGCGCTCACGCCATGCGTGCAGAGCTTCTGCTCAGCTCTGGACTCGAAGCTGAAAGCCAGGTTGGATGACCTCCTGTCTTACCTTCCTGCTGAGTCTTCAGCCACCAAGGAGCTCGCTCCCACTGTGCAGCCTCTCTCAGCCTTCGACCGCTACGCCGACACCAGCACGGTGGAAGGGCTGCTCCGCGAGCACTGCATTGCCTGCATCCACCACGTGCTGGGCTGTGTGCGTGAAGAGCTCCAGGCTGCACGGGTGGATGCTCGCAGTGATAGCAGGCTCCATGCTGTCCTCTTCATGGCCAGGCTCTGCCAGTCCCTGAGTGAGCTTTGTCCTCACCTCAAGCAGTGTATCCTGGGCCGGTCAGGCAGCGCGGAGACGGCACTGAAGGAAACCCGCTCCACCAAGAAGCTGGGGAAGGGGAAAGTCCAAGAAGTGAATCCTGTGCAAGCCAAGTGGCAGGAGGTGAAGGCAGAACTCCTGCAACAAAGCCTGGCTGCTTACCAGATCTGGAGCTCTGCTGTTACTAAAGTAAGGAGCTGCTTCTCTCATCACAGCTGCTTTCTGTGGGGTTTTAGGAGGAAGTTTTTCACCCAGAGGGTGGTGACACATTGGACCAGGTTGCCCAAGGAGGTTGTGGATGCCTCATCCCTGGAGGCATTCAAGGCCAGGCTGGATGTGGCTCTGGGCAGCCTGTTCTGGTGGCTGGTGACCCTGCACACAGCAGGGGGGTTGAAACTCAATGATCACTGTGGTCCTTTGCAACCCAGACCATTTATGATTCTGTGATTCACTGGCTCAGCTCCCTGTGATTGGTGCTGCTGCTGCTCCCTAGCTGACAGAGGTGGAACCTGGTGGGATGCAGCTTGGGGCGTGAGGGAGGATAGCCTGTCTGTAGGAGAAGGCTGCCTGTCCATGTTTGCTCTCACCACAGTCTTGTGACTCAGTGCATTTGTGTTTTGCACTCTAGGCTCTAGTTCAGTGCTTTACATCAACATTGCTGCTAGACACGGCTGGTTCTGTCTTGGCCACAGCCACCAACTGGGATGAGATTGAAATTCAGGAGGAGGCTGAGTCTGGAAACAGTGTAACATCAAAGATCCGTCTGCCTATGCAGGTATGAGAAAGATTCTCTTGATAAATGCAGAGAAATGATCTGATGGGAGGAGAAAATGTTTGTTTTCCGAAACCACTGCTTTGTCAAAGATTGCTGACCTACCACGCAGTTTGCCTGGCACTATGAGCACAGGGCAGACACTCTGTGGTGCTATTTGCTCTGTGAGACACTCACCTCTTAAGGGCACAGAGGTCAAAGGAAGGAAAATAGCTAGTTGCTGTTATGTATTCAAATGAATAAGATCGGCCCCAGTCCTCTAATGTTGAGCCAAACAAGGATGTATGCCTGGTTTATACATAGAAGCCCACTAGAGAGACTTCACAGAAACTGATTGCTCTGAAGGACAGGACTGCACCCATTGGGCTTCCAGGACTGCTGTAACCAAAAGCAGATTAAAAACCTGTGAAATTCAGATTCGAGCCCTTCTATGGGGGCAGGTAGATCTTTGTGACAGCAACTTTGTTGCCTAGGGTGCAGGGAGCTCAGAAGAACGATGTTCTGCTGCTGACAAAGCTAACATAGCTTACAGACCACATGAAAATAACAGTGTTTTGTTGAACAGCCATCCTGGCACGTCCAGTGCCTCCTCTTCAGCCTGTGCCAAGAGCTGAACCGGGTTGGCGGTCACACTTTGCCAAAGGTCACCTTGCAGGAGCTGCTGAAGGCCTGCATGGCAGAAGTGCTTGCTGCCTATGAAAAGCTCATGGAGGAGAAGCAGGACAAGGTACACGAGTAGGATCAGGCCTGGCTCCGGCCTGCATGAGATGTGGGGATTGCTGGGCAGTATCTGCGCTCCGGTCCCCTGGAAAAGGAAATATCCACCTGGGAGGGCTGAAGGGGTGAGGGCACTCTGCCTCCCTCAGAATGAGGCAGAAAGGGATCTGACAGCAGCCTGTGTGCTCAGAGGGGTTTGGTTGTGCCGGTTGTTTCTTGGGGGGCTGACATTTTCAGTGTCAGTGAAGAGCCCTTTTCCTATTTGCAGAAAGCAGGCAGCTTCCCCATGACGCAGAACAGAGCTCTGCAGCTACTCTACGATCTGCGGTACCTGAATGTCATCTTGACAGTGAAAAGTGAGGAGGCAAAAACCAGCAGGATCAAGCATGACTCCAGGTGCAGTGTAATTCTGAATGCTGGAGACTTACAGCATGTTGTGGAGCCCCAAAGCTGTTTAAACTTGCAGCCTTGCTGTCTGCCAGAACACCCATAGGAGTGGTGCCTGGGCCGTGCAGGGCAGTACAACCTCTGTGCACAGTCACAGGAACTGGCTTCTTCCAATGACTCACAGCTTATCCTCTACGTGTAGGAGTGGGATTCTGCAACTGACAGTTCAGACAGCAGGCTGGTGCCCTCTGCTTTGTATGCACAGTGCGGCCATGTGGTGGCAAGCACACCTTGGGAGGATGCTCCTAAAGAGAACAGTTATAAGCTCCCACCTGGGTTCAAACCTTGAGCTACCGTGGGGAGAAACAACAGCAGGTATTACAGCAGTACCTGGAAGAGCTGAAATCACTCAGCTGATTTTATTCTTTTTCTTAGCAGTTCACATTTTGTTCAGTCACTTCTGCAGGTCGAGGCCCTGGCAGTTCCAGAGCACTCAGTGAAAACATCCCACGGATGTGAGCAGCCATCTTTGCTCACTAGGATGTAAATACTGACAGGCTTTCTTCTGCTCTGCTTGTAGGATTGAGAAGGTGACTGACTTCCTGGAGGGACACATCGATCCATTTGACTTGGATGTTTTTACACCACACCTAAACAGCAACCTTAATCGCCTGGTTCAGCGAACCTCTGTAAGTGCATGAAAAGGAATGCATCCATCAGGAAGCAGTGCTAAAAAACATGATTTGAAGGGTAGTTTGATAAACTGCTTCATGTCCAGAGAGAGCTACTGGCACTTAGTCAGGAATGGGAAGGGTATTGAATACCAGGTGACAAGAAGAGGAGCTTGCTGAGCGGGCTGTATGGCACATAATCACGCATGGAGTTGGCAGAACTTTATCTAACAGGATTTGCTGAAGCCTGTGCAATGTTAATTGGGTTAAGTAGTGCTGAAACAGCCCCAGAACTCAACTATAGTAACAGCAAGCAGCACCAATTAAGAGTTACAAGGAGAGAAGGGAGACAATTTATAGTCAGACTTTAAACCAACCACAAGTACTGTGCAAAGCCATGCCAGTAGGCTCAGCAGCAACATGTTGGCTGGTCAGCTCTGCAGATGCCCTCCTTGCAAACAGCTTTCATACCTTGTAGGTTCTCTTTGGCTTGCTGACTGGGACAGAGAACCAGTACACAAGCAGGAGCGGGGCTCTGGGCTCCCAGGAGCTCCATAATATCTTGCCCTTAGCATCCAGCCAGATCAGGTAAGTTACCCAGCTCTTCTATTCATTCCTACATCTCGTCAGGAAACAGGTCTAGCACTGCTGTTTCCTATGACCAACTGCATTTCTTTCTTCCATCTCTTAAGGTTTGGACTTCTGCCACTCAGTATGTCGAGTTCACGGAAGGCGAAGTCTGCGACCAGGAACACAGAAAGAGCTCAGGTTGGTGAAACAGAGCCATGTGAACTTCTTGCCTGTGCTCGTTGTCCCACCAACAGTAGAGCTTGCAGGGAAAGAAGAAAGCAGCCAGACAGTTAATATTTAACCTGATTTTTATTTTCTGTAAAATGAGAGAACCATTACGGCAACACAGCATGAGATGGGTTGGATTTCCCCTCAACCCTCCAAAGAAACCCGATGGCCCCTGGATATTTTTGGGGCCAGCTTTCTGTGTGGTGAAAAATTAGCAACATCCGTCATGAAAATGCAGTGAAGATCTGCACAGATGAGGTGTTTTGAGATCAATGCATAAAAGGGTTTCATTTAAGTATGGCTGCAGGAAATGTTAAAGGATATTATCTAATTATTTCAACTCCCTTCCAGTGCGATGCTGACCTTTAACTCCTGATGAAGCTGGCCTGGGTATTTCAGCCTGTGTGAACCGAGTGGCTTGCTTCTCTTGCAAAGGCTCTGCCTCGTCTTGTTGCTGTTTTACTGGCAGATAAACGTTATGCTGCCACGTTTCCTCCAGTTTAAAGCATTTGCTTAGGTGGAGCTCCCTGTGCTGAGGATGGAAAGAGCCAAGGGGTACCTTACTGCTACAGGAAGCAGTGATCCATTTTCTTTAGCCATTGATAATCTAATAATCAAATTGATGTTTCTGCAGCCAGGATGGAGGAATAAAGACCTGGCTTTATCAAAGCAGAGTGGTACTCGAGCTGCTGGCACTTACACTGCAGTCCTTGTTCTCTTATGATTTAGAAGTACTAAAAAACAGATACAGTATCAGGGTTATTTAAAAAGCCCAAAGCTTAACAGTAAGTGTATTCTTTACCTCTTCCACCTCAGCTGTAGTAGCGTGTAGAAGTGTGCAATGATGTTTGTCTTGCTTCCACCACTCCCCAGCCATGGCTATGGAGTACATGGACATTCTGCATTCACTCCACTCTGCAGAATCACTTGTTCCTTTTATCAGAACAGTTCTAGGGAGGTTAAAGTTGGCAATTACTCAAGAGCAGCTCTCTACAAAAAGCCACAGCTGTGCTTCTACTGTTGTTGCACCACTGTTCTGAGCAACAGTCTTTTCCTTACTGCAGATTACTGTGTTTGAGCACTGAATGACTCCTGTGTAGTTGCTAACACGAAGAAGCTGTGCATCCACCTCTCAGAACAACCTTTCACTGCTTGTCCTTGCAAAGCCAGTTTGGTTGTCTGGAAACAGCTCTTCTGCTGTAGTCTGTACCCCCTTGCAGCTACTGTAGATGAGGGTTTGGTCAAAGGTGTGCTGTCCTCATTCCTGACTCTCTTGTACTTAAAAACAGGTTCCACCTCCTGCGTTCACAAGAGCAGAAGACGAGGCCTTGCGCCCTGGCTCCTTGTTCAGGCAACTTGTAACTGAGGAGGAAGACACAGCTGCATCTTCTCTCTTCAAGCTGGGATGGCTTTCTGGCATGACCAAGTGATTCAATAAAAGAGTTCCTCTCTGCATTTGTCTTCACTGCAAAGCTCCCCCTGCAGCAGGGACTGGGGACACCTCCACAGGTGTTGTCAGAAGAGCAGCACTTCCCCTCCTCAGCCAGGTGGTAGCATGCCACTTAAACCAGGAACAGGTCAGGACAGTCCTTGCACTCTGGCTGCTGAACCAGAGCTCTAGCTACTCTTTTACTTCCTATTCCTTCAGAGTTGTTAACTTTAAAAGTCAAGTTAAAGAAATCAAACTACACGATGTAACAGAAGACAAAACATTTCACAGCTAGAAATTGGAATTAGAGCAATGTAAGATTCCTCTTTCCTTCAAAAGCTCCTCCCCAGGCTACTCTATGCTTTCCTCAGCAGATACCACGTGTCTGCTCACTAAATGAAACCAGCAGGCATCTGGTATTTTGGCTACAGCTGCCTAAGCTTTCCTGGTTCTAGTTTCACAATTTATTTTCAATACTGCAACAGTAAAGATAAAGCAGGCAGGGCTCATCACAGCCCAAACCTGGTGGAGAGCTTACAGCTACAGCAGTCCTACAGCACTCCTGGGACAGCATTTACTGTCTTATTACCTCTAAATGCTCAAAAAATTATTTTCCCAAATACATTTTTTACTGGTTTATTGAAATAAAAAAAAAAAAAGACTTATAAAACTGAAGATGAACGCTGGAAAGAATTTTACACAGAGCAACAAATCGCTAACAGATTAGGCAGTCCACTGGAATTGGACGTTATGCAATCCTATATCACAGATGTGGATTCCTCAGTCTCCTTTTGACACGTACTTTAAAACCACCCCAAAAAGAATCCTATAAAAATTGCTTCAAAGCCCCTTTTGCATTGCAATAGTGCAGCAGACCACAAGTAAACAATTTCCTGTTAACCTGTTATTTCATTTCAAATATAGACTGAAAAGGCAACAGGCGTTTTGTGCAATTTCATTTTAACAAACTAAGTTGAAATATCCAATCTACACAGTGCTGTCCCTTCACAGAAGGCAAGGAACTGCTGGTTCATCATGTAGGAGGGCGTCCGCGGCTCTGTAAGCTGTGGAAGTGGGCCTCCTTCAGGATCTGGTTGATGTGGAAGTAAGGACCTTGACTTAGTGCAGACTGCTCATGGAAGGGCTGAGAGGAGACAGGGCTGGATCCCGTCACTGCGGGGTTCAGGCTGGGTTCTGGGCCGCTCGCTCTGTCAGGGCTGTTGATGCTACTGCTACTGCAGCTGCTGCTGCTGCTGCCGCTATCGCTGCTGGAGGACTGAGACAAAGAGAATGTTAGCAGCACAACGACACCTTTTCCTCTCCTGTCCGCAACGAAACGCCTCAGTTAAGCAAGCAGTCTTGACAGCAAGTCCCTCCCTTCCAGATTTTTAGGCTCGCATTCAGCCTGATGGACGAAAGAAATCGACCGAGTGCTTTCTTGGCATTCATAGCTGCAGTTATTGCCGACACATGAAAAGCATCACAGAGCTGAAGGGATGAGCAAGCTTTCACCCAGAGTTTCACTGACCTCCAGTTCAAACCTCGTGCTTTAAGCCCATCAGCTCTGTCCCCGTGACCCACATTTTAGCACTAGTGAAGTTTGCTGAATTCATCCGAGAACTGGAAAATAAAGAACGTCCCTGCACAGCCACACGCGTCAGTAAAGGCAGGCAGGGCCTGGGGAAAAAGCTGCACCAGCCTTACGTGAATCACTTCTGGTTCAGCAGACATTTTAGGTAAGCACCATGCAAAGCATTTTGCTAGAAGTCAGGTGTTTTTTATTCTAAAATGTGATCTGAAGCATCCAAAGCAAGACTGTTAAAGTGAGGCGATGCCCAGGGTAGGTCTGACACCTCTACATGCATACAGCTCTTCTCCCAGTGCAGCACTGGGACTGCAGTGTTAGCTGTCAGTTCTCCATGCCAATTTACTTGACACAGCAGTGAAAGAATGACAGCCATCTAGTACCTCCACACACAGAGGAGAGAGAGAACTTAAGCTTGAGCTCACATGGAGGACAAGGTTCAGCATTTGGGATGAACACACTCCATGGTAATAACTGCAAGAGCATTAGCCATCACCGTCAGTGTTTCAAAGACTTAAAACTGTTTGGTTTGTACCATTTTAGGGGCTGCTAATGAAGGGCCTCCATTAGCTACAGCTGAAATACTTGAAAGCCAGGCTGGATGTGGCTCTGGGCAGCCTGGTCTGGTGGTTGGTGACCCTGCACACAGCAGGGGGTTGAAACGAGATGATCACCGTGGCCCTTTTTCAACACAGGCCATTCTATGCTATGCTGTTCAGGACAACACTGCAAAGATTCAGGTGCTTAAGAATCAGCAGGTGACGTTACTTTGCCATCCTGCAAGAAGGAAATTCAAACAAGCAGCCACTGCAAATGACAGCAGCTAAAAAAAACCATTTTGGTAAGCGTCAAGTTGAAACCACAGAAGTCAGAGCTTGGCAGCAGCAGCAGAGGAAGATAAATTTAAGGAAATCAACTGCAATTTAACAGTTGGCACCACATCCAGAAAGTCTCACTTAAGGGTAAATCTAAGAACAGTGCAAACTGCATCTGTGAGAGGCTTGGGAAGGCACGTACAAATTGGGGGTGGCTCACGATGCCAGCTGGAAGCCCCACGGCACCAATTCCACGAGCCATCGTCACGATTCAGCCATGTAAGTTCCCTTGTTTTGCTAAGCACTAAAAAACGCTTCTGTGCTTCAGTTCTGTTAGAGGACATCAAGCAAGACAATGGTAGTGAGGCTGCACCCGTGCTGGTGTGTTAGGTTCAGCTAGCAAGGAGAAAACAACAACAAAAATACGCGAAGTCATTCTTAAGGAAGCAGCAGATGCGACTCCATGAGCAACCCTTTCTACTGCTACTGACACTCGAGAGGGGGAGAACACCAGAAGGACAGAGAGGAGCAGCGAAATGGCACCTGCTGGGCCATCTCATTTTGCATAGAAGCACAAATACTGAAACGCAGTGCTGTTATGCCCAATGAGTCACAGCAGCCTTGGAGAGAAACCCACCGCACAGGACACTTTGTTTCCTTTTAGTCTGTGTTCCTTACTGTTTTTCGTTACAGCCACCTTCTGAAAATCAAGGCAAAAGTCAAAATGAGAACCTAGCATCGCTTACTGCCCAAGTTTTGTATCTCAGCAGAACAAAAACATTTTAGAGCCGTTAGCAACGATTATTTTCACACATTACTGATTTATTTTTGAAGCATAGACTGTGTCCTGGGACGTGCTTCCTACATCTAAGGCTGTTGGCAGCTCTGGTTTGTCAGACTCTTTATTTCCATTTCTCTAATGCAAAAATTCACTAGCACGAAGCCCCTTTATAGCCCAAATCATGTCATGGACCTACCATTTCCCCAGGCTGTGGTGCACATTCTGTTACGCATTTGGACTACAATTAGACAAAAAAAGAATCCTTAAAGTCATCATGGCAGCAATGACAGGCATCTACACAATGAAACAAAGGTTTAAGCAAAAGGGCAGAAGAAAGCCCTGTGAGAGTTTATGAGCATCTGAAGCACCAAAAGGGCTCCTCCCTCATCAGCCCCCCGTAGCATAACACAAGTTTCACCTGGACATTTGCTTGGAAACTATTTACCTGCATCCATCTGCTGATCTGTGATGCTGTGTCTCAACCACTAAGGGCAAAAACTCGAGAGCAGCATGATCTAAGCTGAATTTAACAAAGAATTAATCTGGTTCCATTAAAATTTAGACCAGCCCTTCCTCAGCATGGTAGTAGAGTGGCATAGAAGTTTTTCTGTAGCATTGCAGCTATTTGAGAGAAGCAACTGCTGCCTTGTGTCAGCAAACTCCAACAGCAATATCTGAGGAATCCCATCATCAGTCAGGCTAACAGAAAGGAATCCTAAGAAACTGGGTTCAGGAAGGAAAAGAGTTGCTGGAACACTGCAGGCTCCCTTCCTTCCAAGGGGAAAAAAAAAAACAAAAACACAGAGCAAAGGGCTTTTTTCCCCAGTGATTCCCAGGCTGCAGAACACAGTGCTGCATTCCCTCAATTCCCCACATAACAGCTCCTCAGCAGATCCACTGCAGCTCTGCCTAACCTGCCATACAGGCTAGTCGAAACAGCAGAGCCTTGCTGAAGTAATCAGCAGGTATCTGTGCAGACAAGAAAGCTAACCTGCTGGTAAATGGAGAAGATAGAGGACAGGATGAACAGGAAACAAAGCGCAGTGGCAAATGCTCTGCTTTGCTAACATCCACCGTGGTTGTATGTGTGCTTATGGACTGAACTGCAAAGCAGTTTCCCACAGTTGTCACCTGGGAGAGCAGGAGTGGTTTGTTCTGAGAGCAGGAGGAGCTGCACATCATCACAGCAATTCGCCAAGAGGCAGCACTGATGGCTGCTGAAGAACAGCTCTGCTTCCCAGCTGTGTTAAGTCAAGCTCAAGCCCCAGATGAAAACAGCGACCCCCCCTTCCCATTACACACAGCTCACAAGAGGGCTGTGACTCCAAGCAAGGACTGAGTGATGCCATCAAATGACCCACATGAACAGCCACCATCTAACACTTGGCTATCAGCTATAGAGAACAAGACAAAACACAGAAAGGGCTGCCGTGAGCCAGGTTCTATTTGAGGACTACAGCCGGCTGGTTTTTGCACCGAGGTGATGCAGGTCAATCACCCTGTGAGAAGGAAAGCCAACTTTCAAATGAAGGGAGGCAAAAGGAATCAGAGCTCTAGCCAGCATGAGACAAAAAGCAGGTGTGGGTGCCCTCAGATGGAAGCACACCATCTTTCATATTCCTCTCCTACAGCTGCTGGGGGCTTTGAATCAGGCAGAGCTCCTCTTGCAAACCACGTATCACAAAACTAAGTGCAAGCATTACAAAGTGGCAACAGTTTCAAAGTGACACCAATCGGAAGCACTTGCAAACTGCAAGCACCAAAATGTCTCCACTTGGTACAGGAAGTCCTCAAAGAAACATTGAATACTGATTTAATCTCAGGGCTTTAATCTCTGAGCATGCTCAGTTCAGTGAGTCAACACCACAAGAAAACAAGCAGGGGAAAAAAAAAATGAAATAAAAAAAAGAGCTCTGTTCATCAGTAAAAACACATGGTGAATTTTGTTCCCTTGAGAAAGGGAACATTGATTTCTGCAGAACTGTGCCCAGCACACACATTCCTCATTCCAGCAGCACCAGGAGGATCCCCTCGCCTGCACATCAGGGTTTAATGTGTTAAAGCATACTTCTGCAACGCAAGTGCATGCATGAAGCAGGAATCTTAATGTTAGCTTCAGCCACTGAACTCTGCTCTGACTCTGCCAGCAGCAGGGCGGGCGGCTCAGACCCATGCTGTTCACTCACAGGCACCCCAAACAAAACAGCAGTTAAGGACAGAGGGAAGGGCATCTGCTCCCACGTGTCTGCTACGAGGCTGTTCCCACTGCTGTGTTTTAGTGGCTTCGCCCAGCCAAACATCAAGTGCTCACAGGACAAGCAAAGGTGCTTCTGCCACTCACCATGAAGGTTTTTCCTGATATTCTCAATTTCATTACTCCCATTTCAATCCCTTGTTCCACACTAAATTCTTCCTCCTCCCGCCACAAAGCTTGTTTAGCCATTAACTACTCTACACACGAAGAGGTGTTCCACCTGTTGGACAAGTGATTCTGTGTCAGCTGGCAGGCAGCTATCCATGCTTCTACCCGTTATACCCAAGAAGCAAAACCAACTCCAACCCAGCAAGTCCTACATTTGGCAAAAACAACACAGCTAACAGCAATATCTCCCATCAGAGCAACCTCCCTCGTGATGGACATCTCAGCTGCACAGTCCCACTTATCACAGCAGCCACTGGTAAAACTGTGCTGGCTAAAAGAAAGCCTCCCTCACAGAAGTGATGGTGGGATAGAGAGGCTGACATCATTTTAAGTCTAAGTATGCATTTGAAGGCATTGCTACGTGATAAAAGATAAGCTGCTCAGGTACAGAGCATACCACATGTGGTGCAAAGCATATCTAGTGGTTCAATGTAACAATATCTTGTGATTACTTATTAAGGTCAGTCTTCAGAGAGAGGGGGCTCCATAAAAAAAAAAAAAAACAAACACTTTAAAGTCTTAAAAGAAATCCATTTCATAACTTGCAGGGACACAAACTAACAGGCACCCTCTGCAGTGCAAGCTCCTCTCCATTAAAGCTTTGCAGTAAAACTACACTGCTAACTAGAAATGCACCCAGTGAACCTGCAGGTGATTAATGCAGGCAACAATGCAGGAAATCTGGTGGCAGCGTGAAAATCAGCATCTTTTCATTTATATTTCTTTTTTAAATCTCAGATGCTAGCAAGTGACACCATGCTAGCACACCTGCTGTGTGAGGAACGAGACCACAGCAGACAGAAGCCTTCTGGTCAAACATAGCATGTTTTCCAGTGAAAAGTGTTGATATCCAAGCTGCATTTTACAGATTTGAGCCTCTGATACATAACAGAGTTTGTGTCGTACACAAAGGCAAAACAGGCCTTCATCAACAACTCCCTACGAATGCAATTTCATCAGATAATCCAACTATTCAACTCAGCATTAAAGGAAACTAAATCTGTCCAAGAAGGCTCTCACCTCAGTGTCCCAAGAGTCCTGAAGGACAGTATTCCTGGTACTACGTTTGGTCTGTGGAATATGACTGTCATCTTCATTGCCATTGCGCCTCCTCTTCCTGAGGAAAGATCAGGGAGAAAGAAGAGAAAAAAAGATTATCAGCCCCCTGCTGTACTGCTGGTTTTGTCCTTCAAAGGTGATTCTTCAGAAGAAAAATACAAGAGGAAAACTCATTAAATTAATGACAGATGCATCTAAACCTCCAGTGTGTCGCGGGCATCATTTTCTCTTTTTAGCTGTTCTCTATGGAGAAAACCCTCCTCCTCACCAATTAGTCAGGTTGATGTTTCATACCAGTTTAAGGGTCAAGGACTTGCACTGGCCATTAAAAAACAGTGCTGAGCATCTCTCTAAACAAATTTCTTCGACAACTCTCAGCCTTGTAACCGCTCTCAGTGTTCAGGCACATCTATAAATAAGCCTGGGACTTTGGTAAACATCTGACAGGCTGAAAAGAGCAGCTGGAAAAAGCAGTGATCACACTTTCAATAAACAGCCAGTTACTTTCATCTTGTTGACGTGAGTCTACAATTGGAGCCTGTGACGACTTTCTTCAGTCTCCCAACTCAGCATCTGCAATCAAATCATACTCCTGAACCATGTTTATTTTTTGCATTCTAGAAGAAAGGTTTGCTTGATGTTAAGGTGGAAAGCACATCCTAGAAGACAAATCCTTCTCCTATTCGGATCTATTTGCATCCTCTTATGACATCAGCGCTGCTCTACAGCAGCTTAGCAATAACAGCAGCTTAGAATCCCTGTGAACCGCTGTCCCTCAGTGTCAGCAAAACCTGGCTGTTAACGTCAGGTGATTTTTCCCACTATGGGAACACAGTTGGTCCGCCAGACCCTCAGTATGCTGAGCGTTATACAAACACTAGGAGAAAACCACTTTGATAACTGAGGATTAACACACATAAACACACTCAAATGAGTCAAAACAGACTCAGGCAAGATATTTATAACTGAATCTTTCTGGCTGAAAAGCTGCAGCAGCAGCCTCGGCCCACGCCTGCAGACCAGAAGTTGCCTCCTGCCTCTCCCTCCCTCGGGACGGCCACAGCGCGGCTGCCTGACGCCCACCTCAGCATCCCATGCTGTCACAGCGCCCTACTGAGCAGAACCACTCCCCGCCCCGCTGCAAACACGCTGTGTCCCCACACAACCACCCCCACTCTGCCATTCCGCCCCCCAGCCCAGCTCCCCCCCCTCACCCCCAGCTTCCTGCTGCGGCCTCAACCCCCCCCAACACCTCGATACAGACAACTGCCGTCCCAGCACGCAGCTCAGCCCCCAGCCAGGCCATCCTCACCGACCACAACGCTCCCGTTCGCTCCCACAGCCGTTCCCCACCTCCCCCCACAAACCCGCGTCGCCAGCAGGCCAAGACCCTCTCAGGCCCGCCTCCGCCTCAGGCCGCGTTCCCTTTTCCCTTCCTCTCCCTCCTCGCTCAGGCCGCGCTCCCACCTCTGCCTGGCCCCCCGCTCGCTGGGCAGCGGCTGCCGGCAGCTCATGGCGGGCACAGCCCGACGGCCGCGGTGCGCTCCGACGCCGCTGAGGAGCTCCGGCACCGCTCGACTCCTACCGCCGCTTCCGGCGTCTCCACCTCCCGCACATGCGCGCCAACCGCCTTAACCCCACCTTTATCTTTATGCGCGTGCGCGACGCTCGCCTTAGCCCCGCCCCGATCGCTGTGCGCATGCGCACTTCGACCCCCTGAGGCCCTCTCGTTGAGGGGTGTCTGCCGCGCCGCCTGACGGAAAAGCGGCCCTACCATGGCCGAGGCCTCGCCGGGCACGGAGCTCTGCCCGCACTGCCGGCGGCCCTTCAAGCGGCTCCGTGCTCATCTCCCGCACTGCAAGGCCGCGCCCGGCCTGGAAGCGGAGGGAGACTGGCGGCGGGAGGAGGCGGCCCTGAGGAAGAAGAGGAAGCGGGAGGCCGCGGCCCGGCCTCGGGTGGAGGCCCAGGCGCTGGTGGAGGCCGAGGCCCGCGATGTGGCGCAGTCCCTCGACCTGCTGCCCGAAGAGGTGGCGGGAGTCCCGGAGAAACTTCGGGATGGGGTGAAAATAGTGATCGAAAATCACCGCGTCAAGGTGGTGAGGGGAAGGAGCGGCCCTGGGGGGCAGTGCGGGGCTGGCTCCAAAGCGCCGCGATCAGCCGAGCTCGAGGGAAGAAGTGCCCCGAAAGCAGCGCACGTGGAGGTGCCTGGCCACAGAGCTCCCGGCTCAAAGGGAGGAAAAGACACCGGTTTAAATGCGGTTAAAACATGTGGGCTGCACGGTCACCCTGAAGCTGACGGCAGAAGGAGCCCCTCTGACCTCGCTCAGCAGGAGGGAACAGACAAAACCCTGACAGAAGAGAAGCAGGTGTACGTGGAAGCTGCTGTGGAATACAAAGCCCCTCTTTCTGTTTTGCACGCCCAGAACCTCCATCTGTCAGCAAGACAGGATTGGAGAGGTCACAAGGAAGGGACATCCAAAAATTACCTAACCGGCATACAAATGCTCAGTGTGAACAAGAAGCAGATGGCTGTCGTTTCCGAGCCCATCCTGAATGCGGGGAGGGACAGCAGGCTGGCTTTGGACCAGTCCTTGCTCCACACCTCCAAAAGCCAACCCATCTGTCTCCCCCAGGCCTCTGGCAGAAGCACACAGTCAGGTGCCGTGGGTTTGGAGTGGTTTCCAGACTTACATTCTAATTATCACAGTTTGAGCATGTTTCCTGAGAAGTCTATTCAGGATGATGTGGGGATCACAATGAAGACACCAAAGGGCAATTTCTCAGAAGGACATCAAGGTAACGTTAGAAACAAAAGTCTGCTGCTGAGATCTGCTGTACTGCCAGGCTGAACTGTGAATGGAAGAGGAGGGGTAGGAAATGCTGAGGATGTCACTGAGTTTTCAACAAGTGATCTGGATCAGATCTGAACAGGTCTAAGTCTAAGAACATTACCTATCCAGCTTTCTCACCCTAGAAAACCAAGGGTTTGTGTTTTTAGGTTTGACTCTTGCACACCAGGGCCAGCAGAGCCACCTCGCTTTGTGGGAGGAACAATTTGCTCTTCCTTTCTGAGCAACCTCAAGGTCAAGGCACTTACAGATACACAAGTTACCAGCTCCATGCTCAACACTCATAGCAGAAAGCGCAAGCACAGCATGTATTGGCCTCAGTTTCCTCCCTCTGACCATTCTGACTTCTCATTTTGCAGGTCCTCTCTCAGAAAGGCACCTGATGGATGTAAGGCTGGGGGAGCTGCCCATGTGGCTCACCACCTGTGATTTTTCTCCCCGGGGGCTGCTTGGAGGCGTGCAGAAAGGTGAGGCTAAGTTTGTAGCTCTTGTGGCAGAAACATCCCACTTTACCTGATAATGTGCTGCTGCAGCCTGGTCCAAGGGGCCAGTCTAGGTCTCTGTAAAAAAGTAAATCAAGAGACCCAACCTTCTGGCTTAGAAAGGCACACAGAAGCCAATCAATCGACTCCATGGGACCAGTACACGGTTTGACCCTCGTGTTTCTATTCCAACAGTTTGGAGCAGTTATTACAACAAATACATCAACGTGAAGAGGGGTGGAGCAGCTGGAATCTCCATGCTCCTCGCTGGATACTGTGTCCTCAGCTACAGCTGGAACTATCAGCATATCAGTAAGATTTCCTTCTTGGTATCTGTCTTATTTCAGGTAATTCCCCTTCTGCAAAAGCTGCTATGATTATTTAATAGTCACGTTATTTTAGGCTCAGAAGTAATTTAAATACTTCATCAGTAAAACTAGTATCAGAGCTCAAGGAAGAGCATTCTGATTCAGCTTAGGAAAGCAGAGGAATTTTGTAAAAGTGGTGGTAACAGCAATTTGCAGCTTCTCTCTAGCTAGAGCCAGGAACAGCCAGCAGCACTCTTCTCCCTTTGCTCCATGCGTGGCTTGAGATATTCCAGCTCATTCCCTGGATTTACTCATAAATGACACAAAGGATTAACTGGTGTCTGTAGTTTCTCCACCAGGACTTGCTCCCACGTGCAGCTTTATAGTAGGTAAACAACGAAGGCTGTAGTCAGACTCCTGCTCATCACTGCTGGGCAAAGTACTCTTGTCATACGGTCCCTGAGCACAAGGCTGTGCTAACTTTTATTTTTTATTATTTCCCCAACCCTTTTTTGCTAGAGTGCAATCGCTGGCGCAAGTACCACTGAAGAGGCCGCAACAACACCCAGGAAAGAGTGGTAAATGTTTGACAGAATCAGCACAAGCTCCTGGGACCAACAGGGTTTGAATCCTCAGTGAAACAGCAGAGGCCCATTTCCTGCCAGAGACAGGCTCTCGAGCTGTTGGTAGTGGGAGGGTGCTTTTCAGCCATAGAGGGGTGTTGCTGACAGCCTGCAGTCACTGCTCTGGGGTCAGTGTTTAGCACTGAAAGAGAAGAAGGTGTTAAGGCAGCTCCTCAGATGTCTGAATGCAGTAGATTTCCTGTGGTATTTGGCAAAGTATGTGGTAGATCATTGCAGATGGGGGTTAATAAGTAACCAGAATAACCATTGCCTTAAGTTATCAGGGCTGTACCAAGCACTGAGCACCTTCTACTTTCTTCTTGCCCCAGTAAGCAAGATTATGTTTGTAGTTAACTTGTGAAAGGAGAGCGATGCCTGCAGAGGCCTTCTACAGAGGGGCTCCTGCTTCCCTTAAGCACTGCCTGTGGGTCTACCTGGGCTCTGAGACAGCTACAGGAAGGATCTTTGTGGAGGTTTTAAAGCAGCAGCACTGAGAACACAGTGCCCTATTTCTGGAGGAAGAAAATCCATTGGATTAGCTGTTGTGCCCAAAGGGCAAACCGACATCAGACAAATGAGGACAGTTATGAGAGTGCTAGTTGTAGCCTGCCATCCTCAAACGTGTCTGGAAAAGGGTTGGTCATGTTACAGGCACAAAAGCAGGCAAAAAAAAAATAATAAGTGAACTCCTTA